CTACAGGCTGGCTTCAGAAAAAAGGATGAGGTAGCAACAAGACCAGTCACCCTGCAAAAAGAGAAAAAGCCCCAGTGACTAGTGTTTATTACAGGAAACTTCCCACTAGATTACTGCACAGAATACATACACAAAGTGCACCAAAATTCAAGTAAAAGTGCACATGCCTCTTGTTTTTAAATGATTTTCTTATCCTGGAGTTCAGCTTTAAGGCCCCATTCACACCAAGGCTGAAATGCTGAAAACAATAAATGCCATTAATTTCTATAGCCCCAGTTCACACCAGGGCGTACTGCTAAAAAAACATGTGGAATCCGCACTGAAACGCCATCATCTGTGTGTGAACAAGGCCTTAGTGGTACGAAAATGAGGGGAATGCTCCTCTTCGGCATTGGTCTGCAGGGCAAGTGGCCCTATCAGATGACTGTCCTGTTCTGGTGACAACTATAACATATTGTATTTCACATCACTTTGGGCTCTATTTTTAACCAATTTGAAGAACTGTTTGCCCTAAAATCTATTTGTGTGAATAGACCCAAAAGGAACGTTGTTAGATATATTTTCTTTTCTGGTTGAATGTTTGTATTGTAATACTGAATGTTGGCCACTAGCTGGAGTTTATTTCCTCTGCTCCTCGGCTCCATCTAGTGGCCAAAATGCAGTATTATATTTTCTTTTCAGAATTAAATATGTATGTAATGTATCTAAGAACACTCGCTTTGCGTCTATTTGCACATTCAGAAACGTTTGTTGGGCGAATGGCTCTGCAAATTGGTTATAAATAGACCTCTAAGTTTCTCTTCCTTGGAACCATGCCAACAGTATCCAGTTAGTATACAGGGTTTTGGTTATAAACCGACCTCTTTCTGTCTCTGTGAATGTAATTAGCATTTAAGCTATATAAACTATGTACAGTAAATTCTCTGTTAACCGGTATTCAACTAACCGGAACTCTCATCTAACCAGGAAAAAGAAATCCACTGTGCACTCGCTGATCTGCAACCTTCTAGGAGAGGGGGAGAGGGCTCGGCAGCATAGGAGGGTAGAGAAACAGGCCTCAGGGTTAGTTCACACCATAAGCAGTGCGTTCTATTCCGATTCTGGCCGGAAAGCACTGCCTCGCTGGCTCACTTGCAGCATTTTGATCGCACGGGACCGCACTGCAGGCACAATGTGCCTTGCAATCCCATGCGGGCGATCGCATTGTGGCTGGAGGGCGTGGCTACGGTGCCATTCACTTCAATGGCCCACCACGCCCCCTCTAGCCTGGCAAAAAAGTGAGCCGCCGCCGCAATGCGAGGCAGTGCGTTCCGGCCAGAATCGGACCGCAACGCACTGCTTATGGTGTGAACTAACCCTCAAAGTGCTATATTATCCAGGGAACGAGTGTCTGATCATGGTCTGTAAAAGGTGCTCTGTTATCCTGTGAAAGATCGTCTGTGAACAAGCGCCACCTAGTGATCACTCCCAGTAATGCACTGTATTGCTCATAGATTATAATATACTGTACATCTCCAGTCACAATGTCAGACAGCCTCCCTGCACACATCATTATAGCAACTGTATTACAGCACTAATACTAAGTGTGTCTGTTTGTCTTAATTTCCTTTTTGATTACTTTATTTCAATATTAATATGAAGTCAATATAGAGTTTGTTATCATATGGTATAGTATGGGGTATGGCATTAGTAAGACCTATTTTTAATAGTAACTGTAAAGCAACCAGAAACTACATTTACCCGGAATCAACCAATCCCCTTGTATGCCGGATAACGGGGAGTTTACTGTATAATAAAGCTGTCTCTTAAGGCGAATGCTCTCCTGTACCTATACCTATGTTTTTCTATGTATGCATTGCCATTGCTGACCATATTCTGAAAATTCCATTGTCTGCTCAGGCATCAGTGCTTTATGAGCCTGAACAAGCATGCAGAAAGAAAGAACTGGATCTGCATACTGTGACTGAGAAATTGAGGCCTATGGGTCAGCATATTAACCAGGAAACTAGCATTTTTTTAAGGGTGGGTCCAGCGATGGCAGCCTATGTATTTTCATATCACAAGTGTCCTTTTAAGGTGTCCCTGTCACCAACTTAAACGTTTCAGGTAAAAGCACAGAAAAAGTATTTTATTTGCAGCGTTTTTCTTTCAATAAACGATTTCTTTTCTGGTCACTTGAAATGTGGCTCTGAACTTGCTAGAAAACGTACCTACTTGGGGAAGAAGCAGTTCCCTAGCACAGGCCCTGCGATCTTTGCGCATCCTAGCCCTCTCCTCTTCTGGGATCATCTAATTACTCTCTGTGCCAGACTAGCTGCTTCCCTTTACCTCCCTACATAACCTTTCATGTAGCTGCCGGGAAAGAAGTGAAGAAGTGACACCTCTAAGTCTGTTGGGGTTGCTGACATCACATCCAATATGGCGGCGTCCAGCAGAAGGCTCAGGGCTTTTAGATAATACAAAACACAAAAATTCCCCAGCCTCAGCCTGCCAGCCAGCCTGCAACCAAACAAGTAGCCCTGTCAACAGTATGTGTTAAAATCAGAGGTTTTAGTTGCACAAACTTTTGGCCAAAAATATGTAGAAGCCACACTGCCGCGCCAAGGCACCTCTGCAAAGTGTGGTCCTAACTCTATGTATCCGAGTCTCCAAGTTTGAGCATATTAATGAAGTTGATAAATTTACATGCAGGTGTACCTGGAGGTAGCCAACTCCTCCTGATAAGGTGCAGGGACGCACTGGAGGCCCAGCAACCAAAAATGCACGCTGTGACACATTTTTTAGATGTCTTCACAAGGGAGGTTTTTACAGATAAATTTCATGCAATAAGGAAAATAAATGCACATAATCTGATTGGAAGATTGTTGTTGAAGTGAATGGCCTGGAGACAGGGTCTCGTTACAATCAGAGAAAAGGATAAATGAGGCTTTTTTAGGCCACTCTGGCATAACAAGGCACTGCTTCTATTTTTATCTCCTCATTAATCCATGCTTTTGATAAGGATTAGAGATTTGCATGTGAGCCAAATCAGCATAAACACTATGCTGTCCTTTGAACAATGAAAAGAACATCCCTATTTTATACTGCTTATGTTATTTTCTCCAATTGGGGCATATTTAGTACATAGTTTCACTCACCATTGGCCTAACCCTGCAATGCGTTGGAGAGTAAAGCGGACCTTCCACTTCCCAATGTAAAGTCTTTCACAGTTCCCCTTTACATTTTTTGCTGTTTCCAGCTGTCTCTTTCTGGTTCTTGCATCTGACTCCCTGATGATGCGGTGACTGATCTTGTGAACAAGGTGACGGAGATCAGGCATCTGCGTGACTTCCATGCTGAATGGATCGGCAGCCTCCTGGGAAATGGGATGTGGGTATCCCAGGAGGCTGCAGGAGTGGGTTGTATAGGTGACTCTTGCCAGGCAAGAATTAAAGATGTGGAGGGTCCAAGCAAAAGATAAAAAATGGTAAATACTAAAATTTTAACCATAGATGCCCTGGCAAACACAAGAAGGTTGGAAAACCTTAAAGGGTTATTAAACCCTCCTTTTTTTTTTTTGCATATATCTACTGTTAGCAAGCAGTAGATATATGCAAAAACTTCCCGTCCGAAAATCTGAAAAATCTCGGGCGTCCGCAAAGGATCTTGAGGCGGGCGCATGCGCAATTCAGATTTCCGGCCGGGAGACGAGGAGAGACACAAGGTAAGTCTATGGACGCGTGCACCCGCATGCAGACACAGTGGAACAGGAAGTACCAGCAAGCACAGAGGAGTCAGCGCTGGATCGGAGACCCACCGCAGCGCTGGAGGGGCAGCTGAAAAGGACAGGAAACAAGAAGAAGATCAGATTAAGAAACCTCCTTTAAGGTAAGTGCTGACATTAACATTGGGGGAGGGGGAACAAATTATACTTTAATGTCACTTTAATTATTGTGAGATGTCATTCCTCTATTCATTACTATCCTTTGAGTTGGTTCTACACCATTTGCTCTAATACATTTAGAGTAACATAGAATCTACTTACCAGTTAAGGGACCTCCTCATATACTTTGTATTATCTTTATTTAGGGGATGACATACAACCTGTACAGGTCTGCATAAACAGATCCATTGCTGCAGCACAGTTCATACAGTACGTCCTCTAAGACAACGTTTCTCAACCTTTTTTCAGCCACTACACTTTAAAAGTATGCAAAAACACGAGGCACCTCAGCCTAAAATGTAAAAAATGACGGGTAGTCCCTCCAAAATCCATACCAGACCCCTATCCGAGATACGAGTCTGGCATGTGCAACTCACACACAAAAGTGGTGTTTTCCGCTTCACATGAGTGTCCCCTCTTCACATTAAGACTCCCCTTCACATCAGAGCCCCGCTTTACATCAGGAGGCCCCCTTCACATTAGGAGAGCCCTTCGCATCTGGAGTCCCCCTGCTTTTACATCAGGTCACCCCCTTTCACACTAGAGCCCCTTCATATTAGAGTCCCACTTGTTTATATCAGAGCCCCCCTTTTTCAGATAAGGAACTCTCTTCACATAAGAGGTTTGACACTGTAAAAAATTTTGAGGCACCCCTGAGGAAGCCATTAGACACCCCAGGGTGCCACGGCACCCTAATTGAGAAAGACTAGTCTAAGGAGACTGCTATTCTCACTCTTCAGTTTCACGTTTGTAGTGTTGTTTTTTCCTTCTTGTTGCATAAGTTAAACAAATATTGGCAGTATTTTATGTGTATACCTGTACCAACTACTACTACAAATGTACGAATCTGTATTCATTAAACAACCCCATGGATGATTGCAGTACATGGTGAGCTTCAGTTGTGTGATTGGATTATAGATACAGAACAACATTGCCATGTCTTCCTTATCCTTCTGCTTTGTTGGTATACTGAAGTTCTTCATGTTTTAATGCAATTAAGTTATTACCCGGACAAATATACTATAAGAGCTCATCAAATATCCCCAATCCTAAAATGTGTCTGCTGTATGTTTTTCAGAGAGCAGTTCCACTGCCAGCAGCTACAGCACTGAGTTTAGCCGACGTCTCCTCAGTACTTATATCTGTAAGTATTCAGCTTGTCCTGCTCAATAGATGTGTTCTGCGGGTTTCACCTCCCTAGTTGGTCTTCATCTTTGAGGGCTAGATGTTTTAGTGTGGATTTCTCGTGTACATACCAACACACAAAGAACAAATGTACATGGTTATTATGCTCAGAAGCAAGTCCAAAGCAATATATCTTCTGGTAATTCTGAGTTAAGCTGGCCATACACTGTTCACATTTTAGGCAATTCACAGGAATCAGGTGAAATCCTAACAGTGTCTATGTTGCTCAGTCAACATTTGTTGAAGGTGCCAGACTGAAAATTGTTGGTTGAACAGTGATACATTAGCTGTGGGGGAACAATTTCTCCATCCACGCTGTTTAGCATGGTTGAATTTCTTTTGTTCAGCCCACAGGCTGAACAGCTTGAAAGGAATATATTAATGTACGGGCAACTAGTCTTAGATATGTGTTGCTTTACTTTGTTTTTCCGGTACCGTGGAGTGGCTTTCGGCTATTTCACATTGGCCTGTGCGAGCAAGAAAAGCAGTTCAAATGCAAAGAAATTCCCGAGTATACTGTAGGTATAGGTATCAAAGCAATTTAAAGCGGGGCAAAGCAACTCAGATGCAACTTGTAAATGAGTTATGAGCAACGCAGCAGCAAGTCAAAGCAATGACAAGTACCCATGTTCCTCTATAAAACATACCTCCTTTTACTTGCTTATGGATCTGAAACCTGCATAAATAAAACCTAAGTCACTTTGCTTAATTTAATTAAATGTCAGCTAAGCCAAGTGATATTGCATCCATAGGACCTTTTCCCTTCGCTTTTAAAGTTTAGGGCAAATCAACACGTATGCTTTAACCCCACCCCTACCCAGTAGCCTTCCTTTACTCCCCTACCGTTCCTTTCTGTGTCAGGAGCAGGAGAAAATACCCGGTGCTTCCACTTATGAAGGAGAAAATACCCGGTGCTTCCACTTATGAAGGAGAAAATACCCGGTGCTTCCACTTATGAAGGAGAAAATGCCAGCTCTGGGACAATCACTGTTGTCACTTGTGGAGGGTCCATAGCCTTGATAAATCCCCTTCATATTAGAGTCCCACTTGTTTATATCAGAGCCCCCCTTTTTCAGATAAGGAACTCTCTTCACATAAGAGGTTTGACACTGTAAAAAATTTTGAGGCACCCCTGAGGAAGCCATTAGACACCCCAGGGTGCCACGGCACCCTAATTGAGAAAGACTAGTCTAAGGAGACTGCTATTCTCACTCTTCAGTTTCACGTTTGTAGTGTTGTTTTTTCCTTCTTGTTGCATAAGTTAAACAAATATTGGCAGTATTTTATGTGTATACCTGTACCAACTACTACTACAAATGTACGAATCTGTATTCATTAAACAACCCCATGGATGATTGCAGTACATGGTGAGCTTCAGTTGTGTGATTGGATTATAGATACAGAACAACATTGCCATGTCTTCCTTATCCTTCTGCTTTGTTGGTATACTGAAGTTCTTCATGTTTTAATGCAATTAAGTTATTACCCGGACAAATATACTATAAGAGCTCATCAAATATCCCCAATCCTAAAATGTGTCTGCTGTATGTTTTTCAGAGAGCAGTTCCACTGCCAGCAGCTACAGCACTGAGTTTAGCCGACGTCTCCTCAGTACTTATATCTGTAAGTATTCAGCTTGTCCTGCTCAATAGATGTGTTCTGCGGGTTTCACCTCCCTAGTTGGTCTTCATCTTTGAGGGCTAGATGTTTTAGTGTGGATTTCTCGTGTACATACCAACACACAAAGAACAAATGTACATGGTTATTATGCTCAGAAGCAAGTCCAAAGCAATATATCTTCTGGTAATTCTGAGTTAAGCTGGCCATACACTGTTCACATTTTAGGCAATTCACAGGAATCAGGTGAAATCCTAACAGTGTCTATGTTGCTCAGTCAACATTTGTTGAAGGTGCCAGACTGAAAATTGTTGGTTGAACAGTGATACATTAGCTGTGGGGGAACAATTTCTCCATCCACGCTGTTTAGCATGGTTGAATTTCTTTTGTTCAGCCCACAGGCTGAACAGCTTGAAAGGAATATATTAATGTACGGGCAACTAGTCTTAGATATGTGTTGCTTTACTTTGTTTTTCCGGTACCGTGGAGTGGCTTTCGGCTATTTCACATTGGCCTGTGCGAGCAAGAAAAGCAGTTCAAATGCAAAGAAATTCCCGAGTATACTGTAGGTATAGGTATCAAAGCAATTTAAAGCGGGGCAAAGCAACTCAGATGCAACTTGTAAATGAGTTATGAGCAACGCAGCAGCAAGTCAAAGCAATGACAAGTACCCATGTTCCTCTATAAAACATACCTCCTTTTACTTGCTTATGGATCTGAAACCTGCATAAATAAAACCTAAGTCACTTTGCTTAATTTAATTAAATGTCAGCTAAGCCAAGTGATATTGCATCCATAGGACCTTTTCCCTTCGCTTTTAAAGTTTAGGGCAAATCAACACGTATGCTTTAACCCCACCCCTACCCAGTAGCCTTCCTTTACTCCCCTACCGTTCCTTTCTGTGTCAGGAGCAGGAGAAAATACCCGGTGCTTCCACTTATGAAGGAGAAAATACCCGGTGCTTCCACTTATGAAGGAGAAAATACCCGGTGCTTCCACTTATGAAGGAGAAAATACCCGGTGCTTCCACTTATGAAAGAGAAAATACCCGGTGCTACCACTTATGAAGGAGAAAATACTCGGTGCTTCCACTTATGAAGGAGAAAATACCCGGTGCTTCCACTTATGAAGGAGAAAATACCCGGTGCTTCCACTTATGAAGGAGAAAATACCCGGTGCTTCCACTTATGAAGGAGAAAATACCCGGTGCTTCCACTTATGAAGGAGAAAATACCCGGTGCTTCCACTTATGAAGGAGAAAATACCCGGTGCTTCCACTTATGAAGGAGAAAATACCCGGTGCTTCCACTTATGAAGGAGAAAATACCCGGTGCTTCCACTTATGAAGGAGAAAATACCCGGTGCTTCCACTTATGAAGGAGAAAATACCCGGTGCTTCCACTTATGAAGGAGAAAATACCCGGTGCTTCCACTTATGAAGGAGAAAATACCCGGTGCTTCCACTTATGAAGGAGAAAATACCCGGTGCTTCCACTTATGAAGGAGAAAATACCCGGTGCTTCCACTTAACTTGCTCCATTTGACAGCTCTGGGACAATCACTGTTGTCACTTGTGGAGGGTCCATAGCCTTGATAAAGCTATGGTTCCATTGACTTTGCTGACGTGGGTATTTTCTTCGGTTCCTGCAGCTAAACAGAGTAGCTTGGAAATAAAGTAATTATTGGGTGCTGGGGTGGTCTGCATTAAAGTAAACCTGTTGCTTTGTCCTGAACAGCAAATGTTCATACTCAGGGCCTGTTCACATGATATCAGGTCCTTATTAGGTGCGGATCTGCAGACGCGGTGCTACTGATGCAGTGCATTTTGACCGCGTTTTTGATGCGTTCCAGTTTAAAAAAAAAAAAATTGTCAGTATGTTAGCTGCAGTGCGCTTTTGACGCGTTTTGCGTTTCTGGACCATTTCCTGACCGTACAAAATGTGACATGCAGTATTTTTTCTGTCGTAACCTGAACGGACTGTGCACGTGAGAACTGTAGCCCATAAAACACATAGGGATACATTGGGATGCATTTTTAGTGCAGGAGCATACGGATCAGGTCAGCACAGAAAACGGACGTCGTGTGAACAGGCCCATAAGCCCTGACACATTTTAGGTCATATTGCAGCAAGCAAAGAAGTCTGTCTTTCTGTGGCCTGCAGGCTTGAAATTGCTGTTCCTATGATCCTGCTTATACAGTGTGCCATACATTGTAATACTGTTTTTGTGTTATACCTGTTGTTGTTTGTTTGTTTTTTTGTTCTCAGGTAAAGTCTTAGGAAATCTGCAGCTCAAACTCCTGTCTAAGTCCAAGATGTATGAGGATCTGGCCCTGGGAGCTATATTCCTGCACAACAATTATAACTACATCCTCAAGTCACTGGAGAAGTAAGGAAATGACTGAGCAAAGGAAAACATATTATTATGTATAGTGATATACTATAGCAGTGAAAACCGAGAATATTCTGTCTTCAGTCTGAAGCTGACACATTTTTGTATTCTAGGTCAGAGCTCATGCAATTGGTGTCTGTGACCCAGAAGAACCCCGACAGTTTATACCGCGAGCACATAGAACAGCAGATCCAGACATACCAAAGAAGGTTGTTTTATCGCAGACCCAGGAATAAAATCCTACTCTATAACCTTTGTTTTACACAGATCATTTCCACAGTGGAAAAAACAATCAGTGAATGCTTCTCCGGACGTAAAAATCCTGGAGTTTGGCCAACTCAATACTGCTTGTATAAGGAAGCTGAATAGAAACCATAGCAGATGTACCTAAATGATAATCTGACCATTGATTAAAGCGGACCTTCATCCCTTTTTATAACTTTATATAAAATCACTAACCCCCCCCCCTCCTTTTTAAGAATTGCAGATAGATTTTATTTGTTCTTTGTGCAAATAACTTTTTTGGAAACTAGTCCTGCACTTTATGGTTTTCTCACTTAGGCTTTCATCTTCCAGGGGCTGCTGTTGTGTGTTCCCTCTATACTAATTTGCAGTAAAGAAAAGAGTCGCTCGCTCTTCGTCTTCCTCCACCTTCATCCATTTATAAAAATGTCTTGCATTCTATTTACAGAATTCAAGGTTTTCTGTCAAGGGACAAGTGGAGAGGAGGAGGGAATGAACGACAGGACTGCCACTTGTACAATCATAGAATGTCTTGTATTCTGTAAAAAGTATATTTTCTCATTGGTTGAGGGGGAGGAAGGAGAGCGACTCTATTCTAGACTGTACACTAGCTGGAACTCACAGCAGTATAGCCGGAAGATCGAAGCTGCTAGTAGTATCTGGCATGAATACAACTAAGATTTTTAGCATCCCCAGCAAGTATCTGAAAGTAGTATATGCAATATAAGAGAACTGTCCTAATAGCCTTCAATACAGCACAACTGCTGATGATAACTTACAGCGGGGTGTTAATGAAGTGCACAATGTCAGTTCATATTCTTGATAAGCCACGATGTCAGTTTCCTTTCACAGTGCACTGTGTGGCATAATTGAAGTGCAAGGCATCTGCGACAGCAGTACCTAGATAGGTACTGTGACAACCCGGAAACCCCGAACCTGGGCTGAGCACCATCCTGCATTGACCATAGAAACTGGTCAGGCATCCCTGAACTCAGGCTGAGCATTATCTTGTGGGCCTCAGGCCAATGACCAGCTTGAAAGGCTTATTCTTTAATTAGTATTTCCACCAAATACAACCATTCCATAGAACAAGGTTTTCTACCCCAATACATGACAATAAGGCAAATACATTTGCAGTTTTATTGAGCTGGTAATATAAAACCTTTTGAAAGAAAAAAATGCAATAGTCATTAATGAAAGTAATTAATACTCAAGTGTGTTCCTGTCCTTCCTCTAGTACAGCGGTTCTCAACCTGTGTAACCTCAGGACCCACATTTGTCCTTGGGCATTAAGTCGCCACCCAAGTCCCACTGCAATGGACAGCACGGCATTGCGGTAGCGCACATTCCGGTGCAGGCGATCAAACTGTTCCTGGTCCGCAGCTGCAGAGATCGGGAAATGTCTCAGTGCCTGTGATTGGCCCTGCGCGCTGACAGCTTCCTGGCGTGCTTGGCACGAGGCGCTTGCGAACACGCCCGAGCCCATCACTAGTTGGGAGGTGTGTTTGGAGTACCATTGAAATGAATGGCAACGCAACATACCTCCCACGCCAGAACGCGTACTCGGTGTGATTTGCTCTGGTCCAGGCACCTCTACATGACACATGAGGGAGCTGTAAGCAATGCACACATGGTTGGAGCTCCCTCGTGGCCATAGCCTTATCCTATCCCACCTCAAGCTGACACTCGATGCTGGGCAGCATATTCTGAATGGCTGCTTGGTGTGAGAACTGACAGTGCTGTACTAGGGGGTGGCTGAGGAGCCTCTCACCTAGAAAAGTGGAAGGCATGCAGTGACCCACTGAACACGGGGTCACGACCCACTTTTGGGTCACGACCCACCAGTGGAGAACCAAGGCTCTAGTATGATTAGAAGCACACAATTGTCTAAAATGTCTTTGTATGCTTTAACAATAATAGTAACCTCCCCGGAAACTCCTGAGCTCAGACATTTGGAGTGGTGTCCACATACTTTTGACCATATAGTGTAATCTGCCAATCAGAGAATATGGGGAGTAATTGCCAAATAGGTTTGGTCAATCTGTTTTGACCAATGCTAATGTGGTTTTTTTTCCTTTCCTTTTAGTTGGTTAAAAGTGGTGGACTATGTTAGTGACAAGAACCTGCCAGCACTTCAGGGAGCCAAGGTGACTGTCCACTTGCCAAAAGATGTATTTTATTTGTTTTAGTTTTACCTGTAACATGCTGAATGTTGTACTCTGCTTTTATCACTTATTGTAGCTAAAAGACAAGGAGCGGCAGGTCATAAAAGAACGTTTTAAGGTAAATTTTATTTTAATTGGTATAAATTTGCCACCACTGATAACACTACCACAAATAAATAATTAAAGTCCATTTGAAGTCTCACACTTTTCTCTCCATATTGTCTGGCCTACTATGATATGATATGTATGATATGTACCTTTTTGTGCTTAAAAATAGCTTAAAGGACAACTATGAGGTGAGTGATTTTTCACTCAACCTCATAGTTCGAGCCTACGTGTGACAATGAAACTGTCACACGTCGGCTCAATAGGGAAGTGAGCGAACACATACCGTCGCTCACTCACTTCTTGATCCTGTCCCTGCAGAGAGCCGTGACTGTCACTCACGGCTCCCTGCAGGGATTCCCCCCCTCCCCGCTTCGATCCTCCAGCGCTGACTGAAGGAATAAACGGGGGAGGGGGCGGGTACAGCTGGCTCTGCCTCTAGATAGGCCGAGCCAGCTATCAATCATGCAGCTGGGTGGATCTCGATAGTAATGGCTGCGGCGGTCTCAGTATACCGTGAGCTGTAGCTCGCGGTATACTGAGCTTTGGGTGACGGGAGGACGCTAGTTTATGTGCTCCCGTAACCCTTAGGATAACTATGGGGAAAAACACTTACCACATAGTTCTCCTTTTAAAACACTTTTTTCTCCAGGTGTGCAAAAGCATCCCCTGCTGTCCTGCCTCACTGCTCTGCTTTGTCAGACTTAGTGTGTCAGCCAGGGGACTAGCATTGTCAAAGGGAGAGTTCAGCAATGTCAGCCTCCATAATCTCTCATGACAGAGTCTCTTTGCCTTCATAAAATGTTATATTTCAGCAGTATGTGATTTATTTTATTCTCTAATTTAAAATCACTAAGGGGTTTAACGAAGGTCTGGAGGAGATCTGCAAGATCCAAAAGTCTTGGGCTATTCCAGACAAGAAACAGCGTGACCGGATACGCCAGGCTCAGAAGACCATCGTGCAGGAGGCATATAGGGCCTTCTTACACAAGTGAGTTGGGAGCATTTTTTAATAGGAAAAGCATAATAGGTTTTCAATCAACTTTATTTTCCTTTTTTAAATTGGTTTTATATCTGTTTATAATGCATTTTTTAACACACATTGGTGTATCCATGATACTCAATATACAACGTTTGTTTGGATTTCTGATAAGGAAGGAGTCCCTCTTTCATTGAAGTAGGGCAACACATTCATAAAACGGAGAGAAATTAATTTAACTTTTTCTTTCACAAATCTGAAACTCAGTGAGTTTATTCCTTCTTAAAGGATGAGGTAAATTAATCATTCCTTTGTGACACATTGACCAACTGTGTGTCCAGACCACTGATGTATAGAGCCATTAAACAAACTTGCATTTAACTGGTTTTTTTATGCTTGTATATGCAAATTATGCAACCATGCTTTCTGTAAAGTAGACACTAGGGAAGAAAAATTATAAAGATTATTGTGATGGGACACGGAAGCACTAGCAGAAATATTTCTGTGCCTTTCTGTTAAGTTGTTTGAATGCCCCGAAAAGGGCCGAGCCGCGGAATCTAAGTACACAGGAGCAGATCTTCACCAGTGCACACCTGCGGGGAGAGATGGATTTTCCTGGTTGGGGTACCAGGTTGTGGTCCTCGGGCAGACCTGGGCAGATAGCAGGTGAGCAGGGACAGAAGATAACACAAAGTCAACAGGCAATTTTAGAAACTGGTACAGGCCAAAGGTCAGGGTGGGCAATGCAAGCATAGTCAAAGTACAAACCAAAGTGGGTAACCAAAGAAACCGCATTGTGGGAACTAACACAGACTGGAGCTTTGGGCTACAAAATGGAACTATTATGCAGGCCTGAGCACAGCTAAATAGTAAGGTTGATTGACAGGCAGGATGGGGACTAGACGTGTAGTTGCTATATCAATCAACAGGATCCAGTGACACCTCTGCATAGTAGACATGTACAGCAACAAGTAGGGGGGAAAAAAAACACATGTTGGTAGCACATGTAGCAGAACAGTATTGCGGCTGGTCTGTGACAACTGCCATGACAAATCCAAACACCAAAGGTTTTATCCTTAGAAGACAGATGGACTTTCTATGCTAGTCAGAATGTAGGTGTGTTCTTTTAATAGAAGTACACAATTTAGTTTCTTAAAAGAGAAAGCTTGCTGTAAATAAGCTCATCATTGTTTGTTAAACTGTATGTAAACCGTAGTAATGAACTAGTTTTATTTACTCCATTTTGGTCTGTAATCCATTTCTGTATTTCTGAAAGCATTCTGACTTTACATAATTTTTTCAGACGTGGCTAAAACTTTTGCACAGTACTGTAGTTTGCATTTAGATATGGGTGCCAGGTATGCATATACTGTATACTTCATACCATAATACGTTCACTCATTCACTATGTCTGCCTTTGCAGATTCCTTTACTACCTTAGCTCATAATTTCCAATGTGTTTCTTTTAGTCCATAGAAGACTCTGCTTATTATTTGTACTTCTCTTTCCATGCCCACATAGTTTCTTTCACCTGAACCATCACCATTAAACGGGTTATCCAGCAATTGTTTTCTGCACAAAATCTGACCACATTTACATTTGTTTCTACCCATCCATGTCAAGCTTACTTTATAAAATGCGAAAATCTTCATCCTGTTGATGACCAAGATGATTGTTCAGTCTGTGCTGGGCATAGTTATGTACAGTCTTTCGTTTGATTTTACATTAGAATAAATTTGTATATTCATTACACCAATAAAATCTTCACACTATTAGGTGTTTAGAAAACTTTCAGGGTTCCAGTGCTATACATCCCTTTCTCTCAGCATAGTATTGGTTATCTGTTTTTATTCTGTATTGTTAATCTTCTCTACAGTCATAGGAACTAAAATCTATTACACATATTTCTCTTTTATCCTCCTAAGACATTTTTTTTAACCCCTATGTACTCTTTCTGCAGATTCGGGACAGGTGTCAGCTTTACTAGGAACCCAGATAAATATATCAAATATTCAGTGGAACATGTTGGTGTGATGATCGAAAGGCTCTTTGACACCTCAGCATAAAGGACTTTGTTCCTGTTGAAGACTATGTATATAGTTATACAGATATGTCACATTGCTGTAAATATATATATTAAAACTTGACCTAATAAAAGATAACTTGACTCTGTTTTAGTTGTGGAATAGTGTAGTCTGCCTGTGTGTCCCTATTGCAAGTTAGCCATTATAATGTTTAAATGAATCACCTTAAGAACAAGGCGTAGGAAGAGATATCAATGATCTTCATTGAATCCTGTTCTGTATTCATTATTAATTTCATTATTAAATACTTTTTATGTTTTTTTGTTAATTATAATAGTGATGAGCTAGGGCTTGGAGCAAAACCAATTCGCCTTAGGTCGCCCAAGCCCACTCAACTGTGACCAACAATTCCCCCCCCCCCAAGGGGGCCCCCATCGGCCCCTTTTGTGATGTGTAGCTTCAGGGTGGGGATTGGGCTGGGGGGTTGTTGGTCACAGTTTTTAGCAAACTTTGGCAAAGCCAGCTCATCACTAAAAATGAACAGAATGTGAAAGAAAGTAGCACACCCATTAGTCTTCATTATCCTGGAGGTCTAGGATCACAGCTATGTAGTATCATGTAATAATCTTTGTATCTTTTCCTTGTTTGGATCTCACCCAACTAATGAGTGCAGAGACCATTTAGTGATCCAAAATCTATCCATAACAAAGAAAACTGTCTAGATTTCAGCTTTAACTGCCTATACTGACACTTTAACATGAATAGTACAAAATATAAATAGTGAGACTCCTTTTGTTTTATTCAAGCGTTTCCCGTTTCCTGCTGCATGATGCAAAGATAGTTAACAACTACTTATTTTTTCGGGGTAGGTCTTATATTACAGAAATCTCTGAAGATAGTGCTAGGTCTTACTTTCGGGGTAGGTCTTACTTTCGGGGAAACACGGTATTATTTAAACGTCCAGCTGCTGGGTCCTATGCAACATTTAAATGTAATATGTTTTAGTTAGGATTAAATTCTCTTTTGTGTTTTTGCTGCTCTCCCTGCCCACGTGCTTATTGATCTGATCATTCAATTGTCTGTGAAGGTTCTCATTCATCCAGGTCATGGTATACTTGTAAAAAATAAGTCAAGACAACTGGACTTGCTGTATTTTTCTTGAAGATGTTTCACTGGTCATCCACCCAGGTTTCTCAATTCAGAATGACTTGTACAAAAATTATCTGGGAATAAAAACGGTGAATGTTGCTCCAATCCACATATTCTGTTAGTCGCAACCAGGTGTTGATTGCATTTACATAATTGGAGTTAGGAGGTGTTAATAACCTGCCCAGAGAGAGGTGTTAAAACAGCATTGTATGTGGCAGACAATAGATGCAGCAGGCAGTGTACCTACACCTAAAGGAAAAAGGCCACTCCTTTGAAGACAGTCAAGTACGCATCCTAGACATGGAGGAGGACAGGTTCAAAAGAGGGATGTGAAAGAGGCCATTTATGTAAAAATGGAGAAGCCTAGCTTGAATAGAGGTGTGGGGGGGGG